CGGAGAGATCAACAACAGCAGAGCCCCTGACACACTGTTGTTTAAATTCACAACAGTCTTCACTGCTAAGGCACAAGGGAGTTACTGCCTTGAAATGAATGAATATTTATTTGCATTCTTTCCTGGGCTCCTTAAATAGAAAACTGCAAACAATCTAATACATCAAACCAACATCAAAAACAAACACTCTTGTCTTTCAAGGATCAAATAATATTTTCAGTTACTGTTTCAGATTTATTTTTAGTCAGCTTGTTATAGTCCACATTGATTTATATTCCTCATAAACTTAATTAAAAGCATTTTTTTGTGTAAAATTCCAGGTGTATTTTCAATATTTTTCAATACAAATCCAAAACCAAAGACTTGTATGGGTTTCAGTATTGTAAGTATAAATAAAACATTTGTTAAGACAAGTTACATCTGTTTCTAAATGTGTGGAGTTCAAAGTTATTCCTACATTCTCCTGCAATCAGTGTACAGTGTTGTGAACTCTATTTTGGGTTTGATAGCCTCAAGAAGACATTTCCTGAAAAGTATTAATGAATTATTACTGTACTGTATGTCCCTCATGAGGGATACTGGACCACTCCTTTAGCTCACACATAAATGTTCCACCAGAGAATGTAAAAGCACTGGTTTTTATGCTCTTTAACCCGACAGATAGGGCAAAAACTATCCCTAAGACAGAACAGATCAATTTCTATTCCTCACAGAAGCAATGACATTCATTCAACATGAGTTTCACCTTTTTGTACTAATCACATTCCTGGTGAGACTGTCCAAAAACCCAATTTGTGTTTCATCCAACCACATCATGTAGCCTCATTTAACTGGGAATCAATTAGCTCCTGTTTGACAGATTCATGTCTTGTCTTTTAATGTTGCTATGGAACTCTGCCACTGACCCCAGATTCATGAGGTCACCTTTGAACAGTAGCCCTGGAATAACTGCTTCCTGGGAATGCCAGGGGGTTTCAATGCCAGGTGCTGTCATTGGCTGTGAATTAACCTCTACTTTCCTAACAGCATATTTGAGTAAAACCTGTTTACATCAACAACCTTTTTCCCCAAGGCTTTTTTTGTTCATCCTCCTTAAATACCCAGGGGTTTTCAGAAAATATAAACAGTACATTTTACAACATTTACTGTATTTCAACATATTTAAGAGGATGAATACATTTAACCATTGAAAATTTTGAAATATTTGTAACTATTTTAGAGTTACTACTATATTCAGTTAATACATTTTGATGTGTGATTTCAGAAATGTAGAAACATCTTTATGTACAACTACATTTCTTTTGCTAAGAAATCATGCATTCGTTTTTCCAATAACTACTTGAAGAAGCAATCGACAGACTAGCAGCTGATGCACAGAACTAGTTTGCGGCAACTAATACTTTCACTGTTTTAGATTAGGTTACCAAAAATAGAATAGTTACCTTGAATGATTCATATACAGTA